TGGTGAAGCTACCCCTAGTTCAATCCTTAGTACTGCAAAACAAACAAATCAATCCTGGAATAAATAGAGGCACCTACAGAGACCTGATGAGGAGCAGGAGGACACTAACATCTGCTTATGTCCACACGCTCTGACACTGTTATCCCCCCCGCCCCCCCTCCTCTCCCAATTCCTTGCTGTCAGAAGAAGCATCATCTCCATTTTGCAAATAAAGAAACTGAGGCTTAGAGAGATTAAACACATGATAATTTTCTACGTGCACTGACTGCTGAGTTTGCAGAAATGAAATCTAAAGTTTTTGCCTTTATGGCAGTCTCCCAGGAGGGAAAGGAAGTGTTCAGCCCATAGGTAGATAGCAATGTCTGACAGAACAGAGCATGGAAGGGCACTGAAGAGAGGACAGCGAGAACAGAGGGAAGCAGCACAGAGAAGAGTCCTTGACCAAGCCATCTGTCCAGCCTCTCTCAGAGAGCACTGCTGGTCAAAGGGAGTCCTGAAATGCTTGCAGAATTGTTTTGTACTTTCACAGCACAGGTCATGTTTCTGGAATAGCTCCCTAACACTAAAATGAGAGATTCTTTAGTACTAAGCCCAATGGAACCCTACTGTTAAATTCTAGAAAATAGTGATACCCCTGTTTGAGATTTCAACTTAAATGTACAAATAGAAAAAGAGAAATCAGCAAGAATGATAAGAAATAAGGCTGTGTGGGAAGAGCTGAGGGAAGTTAATCTGTTAAAGGCTGCAGACCAACCAACAGGAGAGTTGCCACTCCCCAACACACACTGCAGCCTTGGCTACCCTCATCACCAGCAGGGCCACGTGTGGTGTTCATACATGGGCTTCCCCGACTTTCACCCCAAGCCATCCAGAAGAAGCAATTACTCCTCCTTTGGACCACTCTTCTATCCCAGAGCTCTGCTCACTTTCTGAATTCTGCCTCTCTTATCTACAGCCTACGTGGTTCAATGTAAGCAAAGCTTTCCTTCCTCCAGAGTTTATAAAAATACTCTAGGCTCTAGAGTTGGTAGACATTTTCTAGCTGCTATCTGGTCTTACTGCTGGGGATTTATGAAAACTTGTACTAGGACTTGGTCCTTTTTCTGACTAACATTTATAATAACTCAATAAGCCCATTTACTTCAGAGGTCAGGGGAGGGAAGACAAGAAGTAGGGCCCTGATATAAGAATATTACAAGGTATCTGAAGAATGATAAATGAAAAAATACAATAAAAAGCTTTACCAATTAACCAGAAAAAGTTTTGTCCTAATTAATGAAAATTTAAGTCTTTGGTTCTCAGTATACCACCAGTGAAAACATCATTTGAAGCATGAATTCTAAAAGTTAAGCATGAGATCATTAAGATATTGATGAAGTGGCAAAATCCTTAGTGAGAGAAATCACATGCTGGCCCAATACTGCCAGGCTGCCACGTGCCAAGTGCAGAGCACCCCGACACATGCCCTCGCAGGCACCTTCCCTTTTGCTACTTGTGCAGATGCATGGGCTGAAAGCTCTGTGCTACTGGTATTGACAACAGGGGCTAGGACAGAGGAGGCTCTTTCGTACCCTACTCCCCGGACACAAGTCCTGCACCACAGAGAACATTACGATTTCTGACAAACTCACCTCAAAGAGTATTTGGAATGTTTGATGTAGAAAGGCTCTTGAGGAGTCAAAAACTTCAGCTGGAATTCAACAGGAAATACTTCATGAAGTTATGCAAATTAGGCACTTGAGCATATATCAAACATACTCTATATTGCTTTAACTGAAGATACATTGTACAGAAAAAAGTTAAAAATTAAAATATTAAAACAAAATTTTGATTTTTAAATACAGGATCCTAATTTCAATTATTTTTTTTCCAATACAGTATAGGGCATTTAAGAAATTAATTAATTAAAACCTAAATGTACTATCTAGAGTACTTTTAATCAACAGGAAAATGTTTATCCAATAGCTGAATCTATCTTTTCCCAAACCCACTGGAATCTCCCAACTTACTGCATGTGTAATGAAAGAATTATTTCGCAAATTGACTTTTAGTGTCCTTGATTCTCCAACTCTGGTTGGCAGAAATGTGTACACATCTTCTGGGGCATAGACTCCTCGGTGATTCAAGTCCACTAGCCTGTTTTGGAAACAAGTTTGAAAGGTAACTATGTGAAACCTATATAACAAACTCTTTATCAAACTTTGTGGTGCTGCCTTATAATGGCACCTACCTGATCTACATGAGTGATGTCTACAGGGGGGCTCTCACAATAGTGCCGTTAGGTGACACTCTTGGGGCGCTGCTTTTTCCTCCCCTCCTAGTAAACCTGGCTCACCTCTCTGCAGTCCTTCCCCAAGGGTCAAGTGACCCTCCCTCCAGGCAGTCCCATGCTGCAGGGAGCTCCTCAACACGCTGACTTGTATGGAGGCTCGGGCAGCCTCTGGCAGCATCCCCTATCTGCAGTCGTGACACCCTCCCTCCCTCTGGACACCTCCAAAACATCCCAGGTTCTGCAACACAAGACTAAATCCATGATGTCTACTCAGACCTGGTCCTCCTACAGTTCCTGTCCTAGGGATGGTTCTGACAGCCATCCCGACATCCTCTTCCCTCTCACATCCTTGGGTCTACACCATGGAGGTCTCATGGTCTCCCTCCGAGTTTTCGCACCCCCTCAACACCACCTCCCTCCTGGACACAGATATAGCGGTCGGCTCGTGTGCATGCCTAGGCTTGCTATGACTCAGCCCACACTATGGCAGAGGAAGCTCTATAAACACAGAAGACCATGTCACTCCACGGCTCCCAGCAGCTCTCCAGAGAAGCAGCCCTGCTCCCGCTCGCACAAGGCCTGCTGCGGTCTGCACAACACACACATCGAGCCTCCTGTCGTGCCTCTCCCTTCCCACATGGGCTCAGAGCCCACAATCTCCACTGGTCTCTACACAGGGGAACCCAGAGACCAGGGGAACCCGTCTGCCCCTTTCACTGGGCCATGTCCACCCATCCTCCTTAAGTGTCCCTTTTCAAGGAAGCTCTTTCCAGCTACCACAGACAAGCAACTTCGGCCATGCTTCCCATTTACTTCTCTCCGGTCCTCTCCATGGTTTGCAATCAAATGTGCTGTGGCTCCTCCTGCAGGAGGAGTCCCCGGAGGTGGGACCAGGGGAGTCCCTCTGAGTCCCCCCTCTCAGCCCACCAAACAGCAAGCCCTCAGCAGGTGGAGGGAGACGGGTGGAAGTCAGTACTGTGCTGGGAGCACAGTGTGCTCTAGTTAAGGTTTCTAATTTCTCCCAAAATATATTATTACTCCTATTAGAAAATAAGTCACCAAATTTATAGTAAATTTAGCAGATGCTTAACATATTTTTTCTTTTAAGCACCTTATTCCAAAACTAAATTAAGCTTAATTATTAATTAGGATAAATAGAAAAATTTCATTAGGTAGGATTTTTTTAATATCATTATTAAAGGTGTATAAATTTTAAAGTTTTTAAGAATATACTTGCATATTCTACTTGTGGGGGTGTAAAATGGCAGTCATTGTGGGAAAATGGGGCAATTTATTTTAAACTTAAATACACACTAAGCAGTGATCCACCAATGTGAGTAAAATCACGTTACGCTTACTCCAAATAAAAACATATATCCACAAAAATGCCATATAATAATGTTAATATATCTTGATTCATAATAGGTCCAAATTATGAGACACCTAAGCGTCAACAGAAAAATGAATAAATTGTGTTGTGATCATATAAAGGAATACTAAACAATAAAAAAACTATAGATATATTCGATAGCATGAATGAATCTCAGAAAACTCTCTGATGGAAAAAGACACGAAGAGTGTATGTGTACATGACATTCAAACAAAACTAATCCGTGATGATAGAAACTGGAGCAGAACAAATCTGGACCACAAAAGGACACACTGAGAACTTTTTTTTTAGGGTAAGGCTAGGTTGGGGTGTAACTCAGGGGCAGAGCAACTACCTAGCATGTCATGAGGCCCTAGGTTCCAACCCTAGGACCCAAAAACAAAAACAAAAAAGAACCTTCTGAGGTGAGAGGCACACTCTGTTTCGTACCTTGACTGGCATGGTAGAGGCCCATGTGGAAACACAGGTGAAGTCACTGAGCCTCTTACTGACCACAGCAAGCCTCTTACTGACTACTGACCCCCAAGATGACCACCAACACACCTGGGCAGGACACCAGAGGTCTCTGACACAGCACGTCTTCGAGGAGTGAGTGCATTATCCACTTTAATGAGGGTGTCTGTGGAAGGGTGTGCATTTTCAGGCTTGTTTTCAGCTCTGACACTCTGTGTGAAAAATCACAAGGTGGGAAGGAGAAATGAACACTCTAGAAAATATACATTGACATTTTGTAATTCTATCATTTCCTTTAAACTTTTTAAAGACTTATGATTTTAAAAACTTCTGAACTACTAGTTCTAGTAGTTTGTCTAGTCTGTCTAGTCTGTCTAAAAGTTTGTCTACTTTGTCTAGTCTCCCTTTCTTCTTTCCTTTTTATGCGTATGCACACATACACACAGATACCATCATATAATGAAGTCAAACACTAGTTTTATGAAGTTTATGAACAAGTGAGCCAAACCCTGACTTCAAACGTATCAATTAATACAGAGAAGAAAATTTAAAAATTAGTGAAACTGAGCAGGGTATGGTGGCACACGCCTGCAATCCCAGCAGCTAGGGAGCTGAGGATCGTGAGTTCAAAG